CAACGCGCACTTTTGGAGGCTGGCGCGGATTTTTCGGATCGGCGCTGGACCCGCCCGCCATGGGGCGTCGTCAAATGCGCCGGCGGGGGGCAGAGCATGCTGCTACGCATGGCATGAATGCCGATGGGGGCGGTCAATGATGACGCTATAATGCCAGATCTAAATTTAAACCGGCTATGAATGATGCAGGCTCGTGCCCGCCCCGTCGCGTCCTCAGGAGCTTCGCATTCCCCTTATGATGTTAACGTGAGAAAAAAACGCCCCTGGCATTGCGCGTGCGATGCCAGGCAGGTTCGTGAGGATTTGCACCAACGGCCCCTGTGATGAATCTGCGGGCGGTGTCGGGCCTCATGGCGGCCCTCACTGGTCATGCCTTTGATGGTCCTCGCCTGGGGGGAGGAAGAACGGTGCCCGCGAGCGGCAGCGATGGAAATTAGAACCTCAGCCCAAGCCCCAGCGCGCAAGAACCTATGATCAAAAGAAGCTGGTGCCCCATAGGGGGCGAGTCACGCCGCGGCCGCCGCCACCTCGCGGCGCCACGCCCCAGCGAACACCTCGCCATGGCCCCACGTGGAAGCCCTTCAAGAGGCAACGCGAATCCCGCACAACCCGGCAGTCGCGCTATTGCACCCACTCGTACTGATAGTTAATCCCAGTCGTGCGCATTCGGTGCCGGGCTCGTGCGGACTTGCCCCCGCACCCCTCTGATGGAAGTGACGAAAAGGGTGAGGCCGCATGGCTGTCTTCACTGGTATGGCCCATGATGGTCCTCATCGGGGTGAAGGGAGAAGGACACGTGAATAGGGCAGTGACAAAAAAAACCTTCGCCTTAGCCCAGGCACGAGAGAACCTACGAACAAAAAGGGCGGGGGTTCCACAGGCGGGGGGTCACGCCGCAACCGCAGCCACCTCGCGGCGTCAAGTTCATGTCGAACACCTTGGCATGCCCCCCGTGGAAACCATTCAAGAAGCAACACGGATTCCACAAACGCACCCTCCCGCACTCGTGCTGCTGCGCCCACTCGTACTGGCAATCCCAACCGTGCTGGCAATACGCGTGCGCCGCCGCGGTGCTGCAGACCCCGTCGTGCGGGTACGTAGCACTCGCTCGCGCGCGAACTGCTTACCAGCGTACAGCTAATTCAACTCAAAGAGGATTCGCACGCGAAGGGCTATGATGGTCCTTCTATTGGGTCTATCTGTTGGGTGCGAGGTGCCTATGATGGCCCCTCTGGTTGCCTCTAGACGAGCGCCGATCCAGGAAATCCGCGCGGAACTTCGGAATCAATGTGTATGTTTTTTGTGCTTTGTTATCGCGTTGTTTTATCGGCGGCAATTGGGGAATGAGATCGAAGTGGAACAGATAGCCCCCCACTGGGAAATCGCATTCGGTTTCGGGTTCGTGCCGTGCGTGCGGGCGAGGCAAAGCTGTGTGGGCGGGCGAAAAGTATGACCCCGCTGTGGCTGAGGCGGGCCAAAGCCGTGGCAAAAAGGTCTGACGGTAGCCCGGGTGTCCCGCCGTGTCCGGTGTCCCGTCGCTGTCCCGTCGATGTCCCGTCGCTGTGAGCGGGCGATGGCCGGGTTGTCCTGCTGTGGTATTCCGTCGGTGTTCCGTTAGTATCCCGTTGGTGTCCCGTGGTGTCACGTCGATGTTCCGTGGGTGCCCCGTGATGAGATCGATCGTGAGATCGATAATGAGATCGAACGTGAGACTGATTGGTGTCCCGATGGTGTCACGTGGTGTCCCCTCGGTGTCCCGCGGGTGTCCCGTCGATGTCCCGTCTGTGTTCTGTGGTGTATCCTGGTGAGATCGATGTTGAGATCAGTAGTGGGACCGATCGTGAGATCGATAGTGAGTGGCTCTCCGATGGTGTCCCGATTGGTGTCCCGACTGGTGTCCTGATGGTGTCCTGGTGGAGTCGATGGTGTCCTGAGGGCGCGCCACCAGCATCGTCATCATCGCAGCCATCGCAGTTGTCGTTAGTTAGTTCGTTCCCCCCCGACCTCTTTCTCGCCCGAAGGGTGGTCGCATAGGTAATACTGCTGAAGGCCTCCAATTTTTGGTCCGAGTAGATGGGGTCGGAGGATCGCGCCGCATCGCCGATGCATCGGCGACGTCGGCCGCGCATCGGCGACGCCGGCGTAGAAGAAATCGGGCTCAAGCCGCATCGCCGGTGCATCGGCGATGCGGGGCGATCATCCGGCCTCATCTAGGAGGCCTAGAACTTAAATTTCTGATCGCACTTGAGCCGTGTTCGCCCATTGTCGCACTTGAGCTGATCCCTGTGTCCTTCGAGGCGAAAGTGTGCTCGTGGGCGGCAACAGCCCGCAAGGGGCCACTCAACGGAGCCCGGCCCCGGCCGCCCGCGGGCCGTGGCCGTGTCCGAGATCCGACCGGCGTTCGAGGCGGCCCCAGGAGCCGTCGCGCACTGACTTCCGAGTCCGTGCTTCTAGGAGGACGCAAACAATTACATAAGCATAAGTCTGATCGGAGGTCCGCGCGGACTCCTCGGATCGGTGCTGGGGCCTCCTGGCGCGCTCCGCGCGCCAGGACAGGGGTTCCGCGCCGATCCGAGAAATCCGCGCGGACATCAGAATTATTACGCTTATGTCATTGTTTGTTCCCCTACCTTCTGGTCCAATGGGGCGACTACGACTCAGATTTCCTAGGTATTGAACAAAACACGGCGGACGTTTCTCGCAAAATTCGGCCTCTGGGGGCGCTCGCTGGGCCCAAGGACCGTCAACAAACCGACTCAGGACGAAAATATGGCCCCAGGGAAAGGGTGGGGAATTCTGGGGAGCCCACATTGAAACAAATCAAGACATCGGAGGTCTGGGTCCTGAGCCGGCCCTTCTGGTCCGAAGTTGGGCAGCCACGAGTTCAGCGGTGTGCTGGGTGGTTCGTTCCAGGAGCCCTGAGCTCGAAGATGCTTCAAACTCTCGAAAAGCGGGCTTCTGCTTCCGCCGGCGGATCTGCCGGCAGACTCGCCGCCGTTCTACTTTCGCCACTTTCCGCCAGGGAAGGGAAGGCAACCTCTCGATCTCTTGAAGGCGAGGTCATTCTGGAACGCCCTAAATGGGCAGGCTCGCGCATTCTGCGAGTCGCCCACCATCCACACGTCCACGCCCACGCCCAAAGAATCGGACGACGATGAGGACGAGATGCAGAACGTATGCTTGCGACGCCAACCACGGCATCGTCCAGGGACAGGGCACCGATAGCTGCAAAGACCCGCCAGCGCTTCAAGATCAACGAAAGCCAATGATACAACTACCCACAGTTCCTGAAGAACCGCGGTCGACATCGCGCGCTGTAGGCTTCGCTGCGGCAGGTGGCCGCGAAACCTCTCACCAAGGACACAGGCAACACAACCGCGACGGTGCCACGATTGGTGCACAGCCGCCGCGCGCTCGAGGCTCGGTGCGAGCGGCGGCTCGGTGCGAGCGGCGGCGAGAGCGGCGAGCGGCGGGGGGGGCGTCGCGGGGACGACCCCAGAACACTCACCTTGTCACGCAGGTGTGCGGAATCGTCGCTTACGATGCTCATCAGCACGTGTCATCCGAAACCGGCAGTGGCCGCTGTTGGACAACGGCTTTGATATCTCGAATGAACGACGTCCTGGGCGACATCGGCAACAAATCCTGCCCCCAATGGGTAAGAACTGCTACCTGTCTTCGTCCTCATTCTTTCCGTACCTCTTTTCGGTTGTACCAATCCTCCACAATCATCCGCGCAATGGCGATTACACCCGGCCGCGCCGAACATGGGGTAAGAGCAAGCCTGAATCATGGTGGCCAACCCGTGCTCCTCGACCAGCGTGACGCCAAGGAGGGCCAAGAGATCGATGTGATGTCCACTCCGAAGGGTTGCAACTTCTGAGCTAAATCACAATATCGTATCGATTATGCAGCCCCGTCGATTGATCAAGGAGCACAGTTGGTCAACAAACTGGAGCATGCAGATCAAGACGGTCTGGATACAAGATAATGATGCTGCTGGTGATGATGGTGGAGGGTGATCTGGCCGCAGATAAGGTCGAAGGCGTGGACAAATAGGATGGAGGAGGAAGAGGATGAGGCAGGATGGAGGGGGGATGGATGGAGGGAGGGAAGGAAGTGTAGGGATGGGATCGGAGGGAGTGGAGGCATGGGCGGGTGAGGGGAGGAAGGGAACGGGGGGAGGGGGACAAGAGAAGCAGGATGACAAGCAAGAGGAGGATGGTGAGGACAGAGCGAGGGCGAATGAGGAGGGCGATGAGCCCATGCCCCCCTAACAAGTCTCAAGACATCCGAAGAGGCGCCAGAGGAAGCCTCTTGCGAGACCCCAAGAAGCCAAACACAAGGGAACACCCACGGTGTCTGGATGTTTTTGCTTCCGAGGTTGAAGATGCCTCAGAGAGCCTCAACAGAAGTCCCAAGACGACCCAGGACGATTCGAAGAGTGCCCCATGACTGCCGGAGAACCCTCCAAGACGGCTCAAGATCGCCCCAAGCGGGCTCTAACATAACCTCAGGACCCGCCCAAACTGCACCAAAATTGCTCAACCGAGCCTCTTTAAAAGAGCTCGGTGCATCCATCGCGCCCAAGAGGAGCCCGGGACGACCAACAAGCTCCCCAAGAGGGCCGCCCAAGAGGCCTCCAGGGGGCCCCCCAAACGCCCCCCCCCCCCCAATAAGACCCCTCGAATGAAACCCTCGACCGCAACGCAACAACCATGCAACGTGACGGCTGCGCCACGCTACAACATTGTAAACCCGCTTCGTAGACGGCCCCATGATGGTTCTGTCGAGTATGTCTGGAGACCTTGTGAATACCACCCACCGTGCGTGTATTTCCATGATGCGCTGGCACAAAGGCGGGGCTTGCCACAGGGACCTGGATACTGAGAACAAGCGACATGGACAACTCTGCTCAACAAATGGCGCGGCCGCGTAGCGTCTGAACTACTTGTATACTACCCCCCTCGCTGCGGGAACGATTCTGACCAGCCCCTGGCAAGCACACAATATTGGCCAGGTTGTCCTCGCGAAGACGCCAGGGAGGGCAGTGCGGGCAAATCCACATAAGCTGATCTTGAAGCGCGAAACGACATTGGAGCGCGAAACGACATTGGACAGCAACACGTAGAAGCGATGCTAGACATGTGAAGATATTGGAGTTCATGACTGGATACACTCGAGCTGGCACGTGCAAATGCAAACATAACAAAACACCACGAGAGGAACTACGATTATGCTCTAGTTTGGCCCCGCAAGCCCCAACACATTGGGATGACATTGCGTGGAGATGGTGGGCCTGGGACATGCGGAACGGTAGTAGTCCTAAGCCATTGTCATTTTTCTGGACCTGTGAGGCTTATACTTCTTTTGTTGTTGTTGTTGGTTATTTTGTTCTGGGGCCACCGCCACACTCTGTGGTCCTTGGAATTCTGGCGTGCTGAACATCCTGGCACGATTCTGAAGGTATCATATTTTGACCTCTGTCAGGGTAACACAGCGGGCCCCTTCTCACGAATCAACGATGTAGACGTCAGATGCAACGCACGCCCCAATATTCCATAACGCCGTTCCAATTACAACGACAAGGGCACAAACACCAACGCGAAACGTACAATAATGCATAATTGCTTCCACGTGATGTGGTGGCCCCGGCCCACTTGAAAGAACTGCGTTGACATGTGAAGGGCGGCTCCTCTGGAGCGACGGCCACCCGACTAACCCGATCCTGGCCAGGTCCAATCCCTGGGGATCGGTACCCCCTCCCAGCTTGGCCAGGAAGGCGCATCTGCCCATCCTCAGGGTCGGGACTGGCCCAGCCAAGATCGATGCAGATGGATGCGGAACTGGCGCCCCCCCGAGCCCATATCGTCTTGTGTTCCCCTCCCTCACTCACTCAAAGCCAGGCGCCCGAACGGCGCGCGCATCGGCAGCAAGCGTGACCAAATCATTCGCAAGAAATCAGTTCGCCCCCGCGTACACCACACACGCAACGTGAATGGTGCCATCGATCGGCGGGCCACCCTCCCCTGCGATTCCACCCGCCTCCCCTGGCAAGAGAGGCCGTCGCTGCGCCAAAGCCCCTCCAGGCACACGACGCACTGCGTGTGCCTCTGCTCCTGGCGCGCGGACGGGCACGCGCGGCGTCAAAGAAGCCGGGCCGGATTGCGATGTCCTTTGCCGGCAGCAGCGGGGGGCTGGTGGAGCAGTCCAGGAGCGAGGACAGAGGGCACCCGCGAGAACGCAGGGCTCTCCAGTGGGAAACGCAGCGCAAAACGGCCACGCTCGAAGCTACTGAAACGAGCCCGAAGCAGTCGACAGGGTCGCCAGGGCTGGGCAAAACTGGGGGAAACTGGCCAGGGCTGGAAAGATCGGAAGCGGGAATCGAACGTTTATGCAGATCCACCTGCTTTTTCCCGTCCCTCCCCCCCCCTCCTCTGAACGTTTTGCTAAGTTCTGGGGGAGGGGAAGGGCGGGGGGAACGAGATAAATCTGCATCGTTGTCATCGTTGTCCTCCTTCGAGGAAGGGCCGGCCCGAGGCACTTTTCCCAATATGTCCCTGTGCTCTGCAGAGGGCACGGGGGCTGGCAGTAGGACACCGGGGCGCCCCTGATTCTGCGGAGAACAGGTGGGCTGCTTTTTTGCTACGGCACAGTCTTGGAGAAGGAGGAGGAGGCGATAAGGAGACAGCTCACACGCCAGAACACTGTAACCATACCACGGAGAGTCGGCAGGCAATCCTGCCCTGGGATCGTCATCGTAACTGATGTAATGGATGACGTGGCGGCCTGCTTTTGCCGCAGACTTCCGTGGCCAACCAGGCTCGAGCTTCAGGTTGAACAAACCTCAAAACAGAATTCACCGTGAACCTGGTGAGCAAGCACCGAGGCCAAACAAAGAGCTGCGATCCTGCATCGCGCAGTTTCAGAAGGAAAAAACAAGTGCATAAACACAAACTGTCGGAGGTGAGCGCGGATTTCGTAGATCGGCGCTGGACCCCCCTGGCGAGCGGGACGCGCCACGGGCGGCGCGAAGGCTCCGCCAGGGAGGCCCAGCGCAGGTCCGAAACATCCACGCGGGCGCATCGCAGATCCAAATGATCCACGCAGAACTCCGACAATTGACGCTCATTTTTCCCAACAACGTTTCGCTACAGGGTTCTCATAATGGTAAAAGGAAGACCACAGAACAGTCCCACAAAGGGGACGGGAACCCGGGACCGCCCGGTACGGCAACGTTTTCGCCTGACACGTCCTTGCAATGTATTCAAACATCGTGCTCTCGCCTTAATGACGGCTGCATGTTTGGTCTGGCTGGCCACGATCCCTTGTAAAACATACGCTGAGGTGCACATGGTCGTGCTCTCACCCCTGTCCCGGCTGAATGCGTAGGAATGCGCGTTCTCACTGGCCGACCGCCTACTCCTCGACCCTCCTCTTCACTTTTCCTCCTCCTCCTCCTCCTCCTCCTCCTCCTCCCTGTGTTTAACACGCGTAGCCGTTGCCAATACAGCCCGCCTCTCTAATGAGCAATTTAGATACTCGCTGTCTCACCCTGCTCGCGCGCCGTCCAGACGCAAGGCTTCTGAATTGAATTTTGGGTAATTGCGTTTACGTACGACTTGTTTCCTCCTCGGAAATTGCCTCTGACCCGCTCAGCCTTGAACGACCTCCGCTTCTTCTTCTTCTTCTTCTTCTTCTTCTTCTCGATCGATCGGACCCTGGAGGGGTGCAGGGGCTTATGTAGAGGAGGCGGTGGAGGAAGCGGAGTAGGAAGAGCTGCCTCGGCGGTCCGCCGAGCCGCGTCAGGCCCGAGGTCCCGCTGCCCGAGGTCCCCAGGGCCTGTCCGAGGTTCCCAGGGCCTGCCGATATGGGGGCGTTTGAGGTAGATCGCCCGTGCCCGCGCCGCAGCCGCGCTCCCCCTCCGCCTTGTCGCGCTCTCCCTTCCTAGGTCCTAGCCTTAGCAGCAATCGCAGAACGAGCACCGCTGGACGTCTGGATCGAACGAGTCGAAGCAGATTGCCAACCAGTCTCCACGAGCCATGCGCGTGAGCATGTAATTACGCATGCGCGGTAGATGCCCTCTCCCTCCCCCTCCCTCAATTTCCCCCTTGATCATCACTCTCATCCTCTCACTTCCTCCTCTTTCCTCCCTGCTCCCTCCTCTCTCCTCCCTCCTGGTCCCCCGCCTCCTCCTTGTCTCCCATTCCCTCCCCTCTTCCATGCTTCCCTCTCCATCTCAAAACCGCGCAACCAAACTGCTTCCATAAGGAACGCTAGGTAGGTTCGCCTGCTCAATGGGCCAACAGGCGTGCCATAATCTCCACTGGGAAGTTCGGGGTATATTCGATGTACATCCCCAAGGCCGATTTTTTTCCTCTTGGACTAACAATCTGAGAACATTCATGGATCCAATCGGATCCCTGTTCGGGTGTGGGAGAGTTTCGTGGATCCTGTTTCTGTGTTGCGCGGATCCAAGTTCCTGTGTGAAAAACGATGAATCCATTTATCTCCCATGATGAAGAGGGAAAGGATGAGGGAAGAGGCAGGAGGAGGTGGGAGGAGAACAAAGGGGACGCAGAGGGGGGACAGAAGAGGAATCATCAGGGAAGAGAGGGGGGGAGGAGGAAGGAAGAGGAAAAGGAGGAGGAACAGGAGGACGAGGGAGGAGGGAGGAGAGAGGAGGGAGGCGGACGGACGAAGGAGAAAGGAGGAGGGAGGAGGAGGTGGGAGGAGGAGGGGGGAAGTGGGAGGAGGAGGCGAGGAAGGGATGAGGGAGGGCGAGGACACACAAGCAAAGTGTCCAAGTCGGAAGCTCGAGCGCCACAGCGGGCCCAGACACCTCCCTTCATTTATCCCATAACATGTGGTTGCTCGAACGCCACCGCGGGCCTGGCCATCTCCCGAAAATCATCCCATAACATAAGTTTGCTCGAACGCCACAGCGGCCCAGGCCAACTCCCGCATCTCCACCCATAACATATCTACCCCACCTCGAAGCGACCGCTACATGTATCCGCTCACCTGAACGGCGCGTCGCTTCCGACATGATGTGGGGCTCAAGAAGAAAATGTTTCGGCCTGCCTAAATATTTACTTCGTGCGCGAGTGGCGGCCCTCCAAAGGTCCCCAACCGAGGACTGCCCTGGGCAACTCCCGGACACCCTCCGGAACCTGGATTACAAATGGATTTGCTCCTGGGCGACACCCTCGAGAGTCCTCATAACGCTTTTGGAGCGGCCCACGTGAGCTCCAAGTGAGCGGAACAGCATGCCAGAAGCGACGATCAATGGGGGCAGGCCCCCAAAACAAACCAAATAGGGTGGAAGGTCGAAACCAAATTTTTCTAGCCGAAGCCCCACATCCCGAACGGGGCGAAATCCAGAATCGGCGCCAAGCGAACACCAGAACTGGCGCCAGGCGAAATCCGAATCGCGCCCGAAAAGAAACCCAAACATCAACATCCTGAGCCCCGAAATCCGCAACGTCGCCGCCATGACCGACGAAAAATCGACGGAAAACCGACGGACGACGGCCGACGGACGGCGAGGAGGAACACCGAACGGAGAACGACGACGACGACGACGACGGCGAACGACGACGAAAACTACCACGACAACGTCCAATACCACGACGCGGGGAACAACGTCAACGGACGACGACGAAGACGACGGACGAACCCGTCAGCAACCGAATGCATGTTTCCCAACCGCACCAGTGAATTCATGCGGGGTCACCCCAGTGGGCAGGTCGCGCGCCCCCGCCGCAAGCGCCCCGACCCGCCCTGCATGGACCACCCGGTCTGATGCGCGCCGCCACGCTGGTCTCGGGCAGGCTGTGTTGCCCGGCGGAAGGAGGAACAGGGAAGAAACAAGCAGGCCACGACGAAAACGCCGGCGGGAGGCTGGGGCCGGGCGGGCGGGTGGAAGAGGGGCCGGGCGGAGACAGCGGGCAAGAAGGAGGAGGAAAAAAAGAGAAACAATGACAAGGAGGAGAGGGGGAACAACCGCAAGAAAAAAGGCCGGGCCGACCGCGACGAGGCTACGGACCCTACGGCGGCGACGGCGGCCAGGCGGCGCAGGCGTGGCGGTGGAATGGGCGGTGGACGTCGGAAAGGGGTCGTCGTTTGTGGTCGTCGGGAAGGGCCGCCGGGGTCGTCGGGGAGGCGAAGCGGGGTGGCCGACCGAGCCCAGCACGCTGCGGCTTGGTGGGGGGGCCCTCTGCATGGGGCATCACCCATCGCCCCGCCAGGGAATGGCCGGACGGCGTGCGTGGGGCGTTGAACCGCCATAGCGACGCTGGCGGAAAAGGCGCGGGGGGCGCCAGTGCTTCCCAGCGTGGGCGGGCGGGGCGGGCGGGGGGGGGGGCGCCAGGCAGCGCCGGGGACGACTCGCGCGACGTCCGCCGTGGAGGCAGCCGGGGCCGCGGCGGGCTTCTGCCGCCCCCGCCCCTCCAGACTGTGTCTAGAGGCGCCGCAACGCCGCGCGCGCGCTCTCCCTGTTCAGGGAGACGGGAAGTCGCTGGGCGTGTTGGTCCGCAGCCGCTGCGGCGTCTTTCTCCGTGGCGTCTGCCATCCGAACGGCTAGGACCCCGAAGGCCCTGCGTGCCTCGCGGTCCCACCCGCCGCCGTGGGCTTCCACCGTCATGGGCATGGGGAGGAAGGTGCAACCTTGTAATTACCGCGCAAAGCCGCGCGGTGTCCTGGTGTTCCTCGTGCCGCCCCGTCGCTGCGCTCGACGAAGCCGCCGACACGGCGAGGAGATCGGCGCGCAGCCCAGTGGCGGGCGGCAAAGTCCCAGGCGGCCGCCGTACCGTTGCGCCACTGTGGCAGGTAGACGTCGGCAGGGCGGCGGCTGGCGTCGTCCACCTAGGACCCTCCATGCTCGCTCCCTGGGGATCCAACTCCGCCCCAGCGCGGCCAGCGGCCATGGCGTCGAAAAAGGCCCGGTTGCGCAAGGCGTTGTGGCGTTTGGTCCGGTCGCCGCGGCAGGCGCAGACCAAGGCGTGGTAGAAGAAAACGTCCACCACCTCGCCACAGGCTGGGCGAAAAAACACCCCTCCTGCAGGAGCTGGACTCGCAGCCGTCTCTGCAGGCCGACCTGCATGTGGCCGTGCGGGAGGGTGGTGCCGAACGCTCTCTGTCCTCGCTGCGCCAATGCAAAATGCGGGCGGTTCGTTGCCCACGTGGCAACGCAGGCGGGTGTAATCAAACAACTTTCTGCTCCACCCTTCGAATGGCAACGTCTGTGGAGGTGAACACCGCGGGATTATATCATGCTTGTCCTCGCACGCTGGACCCTGCCCGCAGCACGCCCCCCCCCCGCCCGCCCGCTTGCCCGGCCCGCCCGCTTGCCCGCCCCCACCCCCGCACGCCCCCGCGCCGGCCCGCTCGCTCCTCCGCCCGCTCGTCCGTCCGCGCGCTCGCCCGCCCGCGCGCTGGCCCAGCCGCCCGCCGCCCGGCCGCCCGCTCGCTCGGCCACCCGGCGGGCCGCCTGCCCGCTCGCCCGCGCGCCTGCCCGCCCGCCCGCGAGCTCGCCCGCCACGCCCGTAACGACAGCGACGACGAGGACCACTAGGACGACGACATCGACGGGAACGGCAACGACAACGACTAGATGACGAGAACAACGATGGCAACGGCAACGACAGGGACAACGAGTACAACGAGGACGGCCACACCAGCGACGACGACGAGGGCGACAAAAACGACGAGGCCGACGACGAGGAGTGCGACGAAGACGACGAGGCCGACGACGGCGGCGAGGTTGACCACGCCACCGACGACGACGAAGAGCAGGACGACGACGAGAAAAAAGATTACGCCGATGACGAGGACGACGACGGTAACGATGACGGCGAAAGGGACGAAAACGACGACGACGACACAACGACGACAAGGAGGGGAATGAGGATAAGGAGGATGAGGAACAGAAAGACGAAGAGGATAAAACATCTGACGACGATGATGGCGTCGACGAAGACGATGCTGACGACGACGACGGGGACTATGGCGACGAGTACGACGACAAAGAACGAAGATAACGAATACTACGGCAATGATGACGACAACGAATACGACGACCACAACGACGGGCGGCGCCGATGATAATGACGACGGCAAGGATGACGATGACGAAAGCGAAGAGGACGACGACGTCACGTGGCGACGCAGGGGGAATCCTCTCCCACGAACAAGAGCGCGATGGATTTTCGCACGGGCGAGAAGACCCTCGTGCGTCAGGGTTGGAGCAGCTCTGGCGCAGTGTGTGAAAGGGGCGGAAGAGAACAGGCAGTGACGCAGGTACGGCCCTGATCAACCACCGAGGCCCTTGCTGTTGGTGTTTGGCTGAGTTCCGTGCCCCTCCCCTTCCGAGCCTCCCTTGTCCGCCCCCGTCCCCCCTCCGTACCCCTGTCCTCTTCCTCGTCCGTTCTCCCCCCCTGCATATTCTCCTTTCCCTACCCCTGTGCGTTCCTGTCCTCTCCTCTCCTCTCTGTCTGTGTTTCATCCAGCGCTCCTCCTCCCTTGCCCTTCGTCTGTCCTCCCCCGCGCTTCTTATTCAACCTCCGACTCCTCATTCCTCTGCATTCGTCTCCTCTCCCTCTCTTCGTGACTTCTCCTCTTCCCTCTCCTCGGCCTCATCCCACGCTCCCCCCACATCCCTCCGCACACACATCAAACACCCTAGATGTCAACCAATGCCTCACTCGGACATGAACTGCGTGGGCTGACGACTACCGCTGGCGTGGCAAGCATCATCATCGAAACTGCAACCAGAAGGAGGAAGTGGGCGAAGGGAACGCATGCGTGGAAAGAATTAGATGGGAGGGTCAAGTATATCCGGGAATGCGTTTCGCTGGAACAATGCAAAAACGCACACGCCTTTTTCATGCGGACCTGAAGTGCCAGCGCGGGCGGGCTGTCTACGGAACGGCGAGGTAGAACGAAGGCGAAATGCGCTGCACTGCGCATGGCGTCCTACAAATATGTAGGGAGAAACAATGGGGCACGGCACCCCACGTGATGCGGCTTTGAAAAGACGGGCGGGCCCTGACAACGCAGGCCGGAAAACCGCCCTCTACATAATCTCCGATGGGGCGCGAAACCGGCCCCGGCGGATTGGTGTATACATGTTGGCCAAATGTTGCAGGGAAGCCGCACCGGAAAAATATACACCCATCGAAAACGCATGGAAAATATCCGCCAATCCCCCAACAACGCCAACATCGACAGATATTTTCGCCGGCTGATGCCATTGGGGAAGCAACTGGCGAGAATCGGAGAAGAAGGGGGTGCGACGACAGCGTCGCAAAAGCACTTTGCACCAACGTCGCGACAGTGGAACATCATGCCACACCGCACACTTGGGCTGCAACTCGACGCCCCCTGCAGATTCCCAAAAAATCACAATGGTCAGCCGAATGCATCACTTGATATATTGCGTGTTCCGGTTAGACGAGGACGGAAGGGAACGACATGGGAGGGGCCACGGATGAGAAAGCGCAGCTATGATGACGAAAAAGGAGAGAGTAAGAATGGCGGATGGAAGAGGAAAATGAAGGGTGGGTGAACAACACATAACGGAAATGGGATAATATAGTGGCATACGGAGGAGGTGCGGGAGGAAGATGATGTTGGTACTCAATGTGGAGATGGTTGAGGAGCAGGATGGGGAGGAGCATAATGTGGATAAATGAGTGTGAAGAGGCAACAGCGGAGGTGGAGGAGAACGCATAACAACGATAACAGGATGAAGATGAGGGGCAGGGGAGACCTGAGTATAGGGAGAGAGAGATAGAGAAAGAGGATGGAGAAAGAGAGCGAGGGTGAGGGGAAATCCAGAGAGAGAGAGAGAAGTATATATATTTAGAGAGAGAGAGAGAGACAAACAAGAGAGAGAGAGAGAGAGAGAGAGAAACATAGCAACATATAAAGAACGAGAGAGAGGTGAAACGGGCGAAAGATAGTAAGAGAAATTAAGGAGGTGGAGAGCAAACGTGAATAATCAGGAGGACGGGATGAGGAGCGCCTTCTGCTCGGTGCGCAGGTTCTCCAAAGCGGCTTCTAGCCTGGCGGAGGGATGGGGGATGGGGAGGGGGAGAGGGACAAGCCAGGCGTTCCCGCGCACTATCTTACATCATCCCCCATCCCCCATCCCTTCCCAGTGTGTCGAGTCCCACCAGCCCACTGGGCGGAGGTAGCTTCGAGCGCTTCCTCTTCCACCCCCCTCTTCCCTTTCGGGGAGGGGTTTCGCCCTGACTTTCCCTGGACAACGGCCGTGGGCCTGCACATGGCACCGCCTCCCCAGCGCCCAGCCTTGCTCAGCCACCGACCGTCGGCTCATGGCCGAGGCGACCCGCAACCCTGCGGGCTGGGCATCGCGCCTGGACCGAGCCCGTCAGCAAGGGGTATGGCGGCCTCAATCCCCGACTTTGGGGCTTCTCGACTGGACCCAACATTTGGGGCCCAACTCGGGGACGTGCGGTGGGCGGGCGTCCATCCTCGATAGGGGTGCGTCCCGATCGCCCTCCGAAAGTGCGTCTCTCAGATTCCCCTCTTTTGTGAACGACCTGGTCTTCCGGGGGGCACTCAAGGACTGGGGGCAGACAATCGTGGTCCTTGGTCCGCTCCCCGGGATGGACGTGGAAAACTTTGCCGTCGGCCGGATCGAACGCTCGGTATGGGACGGGGCCACTCCTCTCCTCGAGCCGCGTTCAGGGGAGCCTCCCGCCCTTCAGGCGGGTTCTGGGTCCGTGCTCCCGGTACCCACGTGCGCGCCGACAGAAAACACGCGTCCAGTCGGCGTGGCGCACAAAGCCGTTGAAGCCCGCACGTTTGGCCACTTGCGCAAAGGACCCATGTGGGGCGGCCGTCGGGAACACCTTGCTCCTTTTGCCTCCCCTCACCCATGGTCGAGCGAAGAATCGCGTCGGCGCTGAGATGGCGATGTCGTCCTGCTCGAGGCAGGAATGCGGTCAGCGTCGCCATTCCAGTACCTCCGAAACGGAAGGATGGGTTCGGGTAGGCTGATGTGAACAATATCGGAGGTTTCCTTGGCACGCTCGCTGACCTTTGTAGCCAAGGAGCGGTGGCATTCTGCGACGACCGACGAGATAGATGGTGCGACCTGCCCGTGAAGTAAACTCTAACTGGAGAACCTCGCTCCGATTTCAAACAGCGTATTCAAGAATCCGGCGACTCGGCAAGTCAATGAGTGGGGACCCGTCCTCCGCGATATTGCCCTCCAGGACGGCCTTGTGCAGCTGCGTCGGGGTAAGCCGCGCTCGCGTTCGCCACGCTCTCGGCCAACACCTCGGTTGCAAGCGGGATCGCAGAAGCTTGCCCTCGACGTCGAAATCATGCTGCGACCTGTTGCGGTTCTCCGACGTCGGACCGATGCGACTGGGGGCTATGACCTTCAGATGGTAGCCGCGTGGTACGTCATGCAAAATAAGGTGTTTTTTTCTCGAATGGCGTTGACAAGTGACACAATGTTGATGGTTTCTGCCTGATAATATTTACTTCGTTGGCACGTTTTGACTGCACATTTTTTAGTCCGTGGCGGATGCCCAATGTTGATTATAGTTTTGATGTTGCCTTTCCGCTGGGCCCTCCGCTGTTTGTGAACGTCGCTGGCGATAGTCTTACATGCTTCTTTTTGTGGCCATGATGTTCGTCGGTCCTTAGCTTGGTAAGGTCGAAGACTCGAAGACTGTGACAACACGGTCACTACAGCCACGCGACTGGCTTAACCTGCGAAACAAACCTTTTCCGCAGCACGCGCGTGCGCGGGCCGACCGCTTTGCGTTCACGCAAGCATGTGCTTGATAACAATAATTGCCTCGCGGTCGCCAAGCATGTGAAATCATGCGGCGGCAAGCGTCCTGTCCACGGGACTTGCCCCCCCTCCTCTCCGCACCCACCCCTTCGCTTCCCCATCCGGCAACCCCTCCCTCGCCAACACCTTCCCTTCCCCCTTCCCCCCTCCTGCCCCCTCCTGCTCCTCCTCTGCTTCCCCTTCCCCCTCCCCTCCGCCTCCCCTCCTCCTCATGGCACGGCGAAACACATTCTGCGCTACGAGCCGCCCACTGACCGCAGCGAGCGGCAAGAAGGTGAAGAGCAGGGCGACGACAAATGTGGGCGACGAGCCCCTCCCCTCCTCCCTCTCAAAATGCCGCGCGTCCGCGCAGGGGGCGCGGAGGCGCCGTGCGGGACGCCAGAGGCGGCGGCCGCCAGGGGGGGGGGGGGGACGGGCGGCCGGAGGATGGGGGGCGCACCGTCTCTGCAGCTCGAGGTTCTCCGTGTTGAGGGCGTCCTCCGCCAGGAGAGGAGGGAGTCAGACATAGGAGCATCGTTCAACCGATCCCTGTCCCCGCTGGCACGCCCCACTGGCCGACCTGCCCACCTGGATGGGGGCATATGCCTCTTTCTTCGGCTTTCGCGGGGCCTGTCCCTGCCTACAAGGCTCGTCAACGATAAACTGACGCTTGCTGCTTTCGATACTTGTGTGGTCGGTGCTACCCCAGTGCTGGCACGATATATTTTGTCGGTATCCGATCGCCACGATTTTGAACGGCGTGTCGGCGTATGTTTGACGAGGCTTCTGGGAGGGTGGACTGGCGGGGCCGAGATACCCTGGCCCAGTGGTGATGTGGAACGGTTAGACGGTGCGGCACATCGGCACAGAAATGGCATGAAGAAGGCGCGTCCTGGAGGAAAAGACCCCTTGATGCTCTTCGCTACTTTCGGGTTCCCGCCTTCCTCCGTTGAGCAGGGGCCGACCGTCCCAGCATTCCTGTATGCCTACCACGAGATGTTCTTAAAATGCAAGAACGGTTTAAGGAGAACAACGATGTGCCCCAAACAGTGCTTGCACTTAGGGGTCCTTGCTTGTTTTCCAAGGAACTGGGCCTGTCTGTCGGACCGGCGGCTATGTGGCTGCTGTCGCCGCCCCGTCGCCGGCTCGTCGCCGCCCCGTCGCCCGGGCTTGTCTGTCGGTCTGGCGGGCATGTGGCTGTGGTCGTCGCCCCGCCGCCGCCCAAGATTGCACAGCATAGATTGCACCGCAAAGATTGCACAACATACATTGCACCGCATAGGTTGCACCACGTCTATTCTCCTTTTTAAAAAGAGAATAGACTCTACCCCCCCGGACTTAACGCTTCCCCCTGGGATAATATAATTTCATATATATATATATATATTATGCACACTCGTCCATCCTAAATATGAAATCATACCATCCCAGGCAGGCTGGTTCCCCCCCCCTGAGGGTCCCTTGTAAATTAGCCTGGCGAAGGACCCAACCATATGCAGCTGCGAGTACCGCACCGATATGAGACGAAGGAGGGGGCACGCAAACTAGGCCCCTCTTCTCATAGGCACCGCGCCAGTGGGGCCTTCGGTGGAGCTTCCTATGGGGCCACGAAACGTGTGAAGGGTGTGCCGAAATGGGTGGTGGGGAGGCATGCGGACCCTGCCACTGGGGCCTTCGGTGGAGCTCCCTATGGGGCCACGAAACGTGTGAGGGGTGTGCCGAAATGTGTGGTGGGGAGGCATGCGAACGCAGCCACTGGGGCCTTCGGTGGAGCTGCCTATGGGGCCACGAAACGTGTGAGGGGTGTGCAGAAATGGGTGGTGGGGAGGCATGCGAACGCAGCCACTGGGGCCTTCGGTGGGGCCACGAAGCGTATGAGGGGTGTGCCGAAATGGGTGGTGGGGAGGCATGCGAACGCAGCCACTGGGGTCTTCGGTGGAGCTCCCTATGGGGCCACGAAACGTGTGAGGGGTGTGCCGAAATGGGTGGTGGGGAGGCATGCGAACGCAGCCACTGGGGCCTTCGGTGGAGCTCCCTATGGGGCCACGAAACGTGTGAGGGGTGTGCCGAAATGGGTGGTGGGGAGGCATGCGAACGCAGCCACTGGGGCCTTCGGTGGAGCTCCCTATGGGGCCACGAAACGTGTGAGGGGTGTGCCGAAATGGGTGGTGGGGAGGCATGCGAACGCAGCCACTGGGGCCTTCGGTGGAGCTCCCTATGGGGCCACGAAACGTGTGAGGGTGGTGTGCGAACGCAAATGGGTGGTGGGGAGGCATGCGAACGCAGCCACTGGGGCCTTCGGTGGAGCTCCCTATGGGGCCACGAAACGTGTGAGGGGTGTGCCGAAATGGGTGGTGGGGAGGCATGCGAACGCAGCCACTGGGGCCTTCGGTGGAGCTCCCTATGGGGCCACGAAACGTGTGAGGGGTGTGCCGAAATGGGTGTGGGGAGCATGCGGAGCAGCCACTGGGGCCTTCGGTGGAGCTCCCTATGGGGCCACGAAACGTGTGAGGGGTGTGCCGAAATGGGTGCGGTGGGCGCATGGGAGCGCAGCCACTGGGGCCTTCGCTGGAGCTCCCCATGGGACCACGAAGCGTGTGTGGGTGTGCCGAAATGGGTGCGGTGGGCGCATGGGAGCGCAGCCACTGGGGCCTTCGCTGGGTCCCTGTGAGGGGTGTGAGGGGTGTGCCGAAATGGGTGGGTGCGGTGGGCGCATGGGAGCGCAACCACTGGGGCCTTCGGTGGAGCTCCCTATGGGGCCACGAAGCGTGTGAGGGGTGTGCCGAAATCTGTGCGGTGGGCGCATGGGAGCGCAGCCACTGGGGCCTTCGCTGGAGCTCCCTATGGGGCCACGAAGCGTATGAGGGGTGTGCCGACATGGGTGCGGTGGGCGCATGGGAGCGCAGCCACTGGGGCCTTCGCTGGAGCTCCCTATGGGGCCACGAAACGTGTGAGGGGTGTGCCGAAATGGGTGCGGTGGGCGCATGGGAGCGCAGCCACTGGGGCCTTCGGTGGAGCTCCCTATGGGGCCACGAAACGTGTTGAGGGGTGTGCCGAAGCGGGTGTGGCTGACGCATGCGGGCGGTGGCACTGAGGCCTTCGGTGGAGATCCCTATGGGGCCGCGAAACGTGTGACGGGTGATGATGGCGATGATGATGGTGGTGATGATGACGTCGATGATGATGATGATGGTGATACCGAAACGGTTGCACACGTTTCGTGGCCTCATGATGATGATGACGATGATGGCGGTGATAATGACGATGATGATGATGATGCTGATGGTGATGATGATGATGATGGCAGGAGGGAGGGGGCAGCGGGAGGAGGAGTGAACGCGGGGCGCTGTCTCTTCAAAACGAGGGCCCAACACCACAGGATGGTTGGGAAAAACACTATGCGGTGACATTTTTTGTTCTAGCATAGCACCTTTTCACGAGTCACTTGCAAAAAATGGGACGAAGTGTACACGCGCGCGTCGTCGCGCGCGCATGCCGAAATCCTTCAAAAACCTTTCGGTGACGGAAGGGTTTCGCATTCGAGTTTCCAAGACACATACAAAAACACAAGGTTTCGCAACACTGATTTGCTAAAAAAGTTTCCGCGCGAACTCTTGCGAAATCTTGCGAAAACCGTGGGTTTTTCAAGATTTTCACAACATGCTACCAAACGGGCTTCGCGCGCGCATGTCGAATTCTGTCGAACGCCCTTGCGCGTGTGCCGTCGCGAGAACCCTCTGCAAAAAAAAGGCGAAGTGCAGACGCGCGCGTCGTCGCGCGCGTACGCCGAAATCCTTCAAAACCAATCGGTTTCGGAAGGATTTCGAAATCGCGATTCCAAAAAACTTACAAACACCCAAGGTTTCGCAACACGGATTTTCAACAAAAGCGTGCGCGCGCGCTCTTGCGTCGTCGTCGTCGTCGTCGTCGTCGTCGCCGTCCTCCCTCCTCCCGCGTCGTTGTCGTCGTCGTCGTCGCCTACGTCGTCCTCTGTCTTTCCTCGTGTTCGTCGTCGTCGTCCTCTTTGGCGTCGTGGTCGTTTCCGTCGTCGTTGTCGCCGTGGTCGTCCTTCCTCCTCTCCCTCGTCGTCGTCGTCGTCGTCCGTCGTCGGCGTCTCGTCGTCCCTCCTACTTCGTCGCCGTCGTCGTCGTCGTCGTCGTTGTCGTCATCTTCCCTCCTCCCTCGTCGTTGCCGTCGTCGGCGTCGCCGTCCTTCCTCCTTCTTCGTCGTTCGCGTCGTCGCCGTCCTCCCTCCTCCCTCGTCGTTGTCGTCGTTGTCGCCGTTGTCGCCGTCGTCGTCCTCCCTCCTCCCTCGTCGTCGTCTTCGTTGGCGACGTCGTCGTCGTCTTCGTCGTCGTCGTCGGCGTCGTCGTCGTCGTCTTCGTCGCCGTTGTCGGCGTCGTCGTCGTCGCCACCGTCGTCGTCGTCGTCGTCGTCGTCGTCGTCGTCGTCGTCGTCGGCGTCGTTGACGTCGTCGTCGTCGTCGTCGTCGTCGTCGTCGTCGTCGTCGTCGTCGTCGTCGTCGTCGTCGTCGTCGTCGTCGGCGTCGGCGTCGTCGTCGGTGTCGTCGTCGTCGTCGTCGTCGTCGTCGTTGTCGGCGTCGTCGAAGTCGTTGGAGACGTCGTCGGTGTCGTCGTAGTCGTTGTCGGCGGCGTCGTCGTCGTCGTTGTCGCTGTCGTCGTCGGCGTCGCTGTCGTTGGCAAGTGCCATTTGGTACCCACCGTCACGGTCTTGAGAGATTTTGCGAACCAAGTTGCGGGTGGGTGGGTGGGATGTTTGCGCGAGCAGTGGAGTTGTCAAGCGCGGTGCAGGGTAGTCAATTGCACCACATAGCTTGCACAAGAAAAATGGCACTGCATACGTTGCACCACGTGGGTTGCACAACACATACTGCACCACGTAAAACTGACAACATAGATTGCACCAAAAAGGTTGTACAACATATATTGCACCACCGAAAGTGCACAACGTATATGGCACAGCATGGATTGCACCATTTCGACTGTACCCCATGGGTGCACCATATGCATTGCTCCACAACTATTGCACCACATAGGTTGCGCCACACATATTGCACCGAATCTATTGCACAGCATCGATTCTCCTTTCTAAAAAGACAATGAATTCTACCACCCTCCCCCCCCCCGGACCCGGGAACCTGTGTAAAACACATAAAATTCTTTCTGACCCAATGTCCATCCGACCTGTGAACTCATACTATCCCAGCCAAACCGGTATCGGTTCCCCCGCCATCCTCTGCAAAACATACTATGCGCGCGCACTCGTTTATCAAAAAGTATAAGTTTTCAAACATCCCTCGCAAGAGCTGGGACGAAGTGCACACGCGCGCGTCGTTGCGCGGGCATGCGGAAATCCTTCAAAAACCGTTGGTGTCGGAAGGATTTCAAAATCGAGCTTCCAAAAAACATACAAAAAACACAAGGTTTCGCAACACTGATGTTTTGAAAAAGCTTGCGCGTGCGCTCTTGCGAAATCATA